CAGAAAAAAGACCACCAGAGAAGTGCTGCATATATTTGCTTTTTGCTATTTTGTATGTGTTTGCAAAAAAAAAAAAAAAAAATATTCCAGAGAGGTATTTGTGCAGCATGTATCATTGAGTTATAAATATTCTGTTGATTTTATGTGAATTTCTGTAATAAAGGGGATTAACCACATGGAAATTCTTTAATGCTACAAAAAGACTTAATTTTTGACATGGTAGTAATAGTATAATATTGATTCATTTGTTACTAAAATAGACCCAAAATTGTGAAGCTGGAGAGAACCTGTTGCTTCAGGGAGTACTCTCGTGTTATTGCTGTGTTATTTATCTACACTAGTTTTGTGTTTCCTTTTCATAGGGGTGGATATGTTTTATTTGGAATACATGGCGAAGGAGAGGCGTTGAAAGTGTAGGTCGTGGTGTGTGTGACTTTGTTAACCTGTTGCTGTTAGGAATGACTTGTATGCAGGCTACATATTTAGTATGATTTTAGTTTAATGTGTTTACACATAGATGGCTTTACAGGAGCTTCAGCACTAAAGAGTTAAATACTAATCCTATCTACCTGACTTGTTTTTGCTTTTCTTTGGTTTTTGGTTGGATTCATGGTATTTGTTACAGAGTGATGCACCCTCCCAGAGACTAAGTCAAAAAAAAAAAAAAAAAAAATCTGCTGGAAATTCAATGATTTCATTGATTCTTGGAATTGTTTCTTCTGTGAATGAATTGTTCAAGAGATCGAGTACCAATTCTCTGTTGGCAATCTTGATTTGATAGTCTTGTTTGTAGGGGAAGGCATGAAGTATATCAGGGGAGTTATGGGGTATAACAGGCTTAAATAAGAAGAATAACAATCAAAAATGTGTAAAACTAGCACAAAAATCGGCCAATTAAACTCTACAGACATAACCGCCATCTTTGAAATTGTAGGGACTGACGCCCCAGAAAGCAAAAACTCTCCAGGAACCCAACCCGCATTTCAGCAAAACTCTATGGGAATTCACACGTTCCAAACCACCAAGAAATGTATTGACCAATAAACCAGCCTAATGTAGCAATTTAGATTGCTGTTACTAGGCAGTATATATATATTATACTCTGTAGAACACCATAGGAACATACATAATGCATAATGTTTTCAGTATTTCCAACAAATCTCAGTTAAAAACCACCTTATCCATAGTTGCAGCTGGTGCACATGTCATTCACTAGGGTCAGCAGTTCAGTTGTACTCTCAAAAATGGGATTCGAATCCATAACATTAGGTTCATGACATTAACCCATGAACAATCTTAAATCATACTAGATAGATAGATAGATTGATTGAGATAGATAGATAGATAGATAGATAGATAGATAGATAGATAGATAGATAGATAGATAGATAGATAGATAGATAGATAGATAGATAGATAGATAGATAGATAGAATAATAGATAGAATGAAAGAAAGAATAATAGATAGATAGATAGAATAATAGATAGATAGATAGATATTATGTACATGTTGAATACAAGAAATGTAAGAATAGTATTATCAAATGCTTTCTGAAAAATTATAAAGATTTACTGGAGATATGCAGTGACATCTGTGAACTTCTCAGGAAGCTCACAGTATTGTTTACATTCGAGACGATTCGAGAAAATGAGGTTTGTGGACTCAACAATTTTATTAACTTTGCTGACATATACAAACGCTAGTCAATAATTCTATTATACTTTCCTTGGTATTAGTATTGCCAATAGCAATATCATTGAAGACAGTTATCTATCTCCTGCTGGCCATGGGTGGCCACTAATCCAAAGACTAACAAACTATACCAGAGTGCTAAAGGTGTAGAATGTGTGGCAGTTGCCTGTCACAGCACTATTTCATTTATTTTTTAATAGATATATACTGGTAATTTTGTAAAGCCAGTCTACATTTTAAAATCCATAAAGTTTGGTATCGATAGATTCCATATAAGTGCATTTATGTTGGTGTTAGTTGGTGCTTGGCAACAATAGTAATGTAAGATATCATAGGTAGGAAGGGCATGAGGCATCATCAGGACGAAGCAGAAATAGATTATAAGTTATTTATGTATTTTTGTTATTGTCGCGGGGTGTACCCCTTAACCCAATGCCGACGGGTAAAAATGATTGGCAATGGGACGTAATAATGGGATTGTTGGCGTGCATCGGCAGTTTCCCCTGTTTGTGACCGGCTTGATCGGTAATTTACGAGCGACATTTGGCACCGGAAAGCTTTTATTTAGCTATAATTTATAAAAATATTATAATTTTGAAGGTTTGCCTTCAGTATATGTGCCATTGCCTAAAATCTTTACCATATAAATGAAACCGCTGCTATTGGAGAAAAACAAACTCCGTCCGACGAGCCAGTGGCACAGGAATGGACATGATACAATGCCATCCGTTTTTCGGTCCACAACAGCCATGGCATGTACGTACATGCCACCCGTTAGCTTGGGGTTAAGGGGGCCATTGCAATGAATTTTCAACGAATACCATAAGAAAATACTTGAAAATTTGAAAAAAAAAAAAAAGTAATCTAGTAGGCTTTAGCAATCTAATGATGCAATATATCTGCTAAATATGTAAAAATAAAGGAGTTATGACTAAATCTGTGACTCCCCTCTGCCTTTGGCTCCGATGTTTACTTTGTTGCGTCTGAGCAAACAAATTCAAGATTTTTTTTTTTTTTTTTTTTTCCCCATTTTTATTTTGGTATTTTCTGGTAGCTAACTGGCAACTCTGCTTCTGAATCAGCTGACAGCCATGAGCGAGACAGAGTGAGAGGCTATGCTGCCTCAGCGCAACGCCATCCCATAGATGCACCGATATATAGTGTGTGATGCACCCTCATCACACACTAAGAGGACACTACTAATGATAGATGGTATTCCTGTAACTAATAAACATGATATGTTGAGAAATACATCTCAGTCATAGCTGCAGCAGTTGTTTATTCATATGAAATACCTCATGAGGTACTGTAAAGGCACTGCAAAGACTGTGAAGACATGCAGTACTTCTACAATCATGTGCAGTTATTGCCATTAATACCTTGCAAAAGGGGGGGACCAGGTACCAGCTACACTTCAGAATACTATGTGAATGCCATAGAATGCATCAAAATTGATGCAGAGATCAGATTTCTTAAAAAGAAAATGGAGGAAAAAGTATCCTCAACTTCAAAGCTTTAATTTGAAATATATATATATATATATACATATATATATATATATATATATATATATATATATATATATACATATATATATATATATATATATATATATATATATATATATATATATATATATATATATCTCAAAACTACACCTTTGTCCATATTTTTTGTCACTCTGTAACTATTTGGGCAATTCTAATGGGGTTTGGATCATTTTAAAGCTGAATAAGTTCGCGATTTTCTCAACAATTTGATTTTCATTTCAGGTGATAAAAGTCTATATATCATATTTTATATTTTTAACAATGAACATTTAAAAAAAAGATTTTACCACTAAAGTAAGAGGAAATTTCATAAATCCAAATCGTTACGAATATAGGTATTGCTATAGAGTATATGTGGTATTTTTGTCAATACAGTCAATGGATAAGTAAGATACATAATTTTTTTTTATTTTTCAAAACCTTAAACTTCATTATTTATTATCCAAATTATATGAAACTTCATGATTTAAATCACAGTATATGTATATATAACATATTTAAAAATTGCAAAAATCCAATCATAATTAGCACCAAATCAGTCAAATCACACTCCAAGAGGTTTGTGCACTCATGGGGAGTCTTTCCTTTCACCCTGGCCTTTGCTCTTGACGCTTTGTTCACGTCATCCTTATAGCTGTCCAAGTTTTTCCGTGACGTTATCGCAACATCATTTGGATCCAGGGTGTTAAAATCCCCCTTATGGATGGGCTGCCACCCTCCAACCCCTTCCTGGAATGCTAAATCTCCACCACAACTGACTGGCAGGGTAGAGCCCAGACAGATCTGAGTGACATGTGCCTAGTTTGTGATTTGACCGAGCAGCAGAGGTAAACATCTTGTGCTGCATGCTCATTCTTGAGTTGCGGTGTAAGTTATGGGAGTTTTCAGATGTTCATAATTTGATATTTATTTATTCTGCTGACTAGTGCTGAATTTGGTTATTAGACATCAATAGGAATTAATTGATCCCAAGTTTGGTGGGTTTTAAGAGGCAGACTTTCTAGAAAATTCCTATACCTAATGCACATGTGTATATATTTTTTTTTATATGTACAATATATATTGTTGTAGGTCTTTCATAATAACAAAGTTGAAATAGATACAGACAGCTGACAGTGTATTTACAGTGTTGAAAAGGAGAGTTTTGCTTAGAAGACCAGTAGCTCTTTGTAATTGCATTATTTCCCAAAGAACAATCCATTAAGTAAAGTGCAAACCAACAAGAAATTATGTGTTCTACTAATTTTTCAGCCCAATTACCTCTCAGTATCCCATACATGTCATGGAGTTTTATACCACTATATTCAGGTTATGCATGTCCATTAAATAAAATATTTTCCTTTTATCCTGGCATGTGGTGTCTTTATCTATTTCAGTTTTGAAATAAAATGTATATACTGCATTGCTAGGTAATATCTATTTCATACTAGAATCTGAACCAGAATATGCCAAACATCATCAGAATTATTACCTCACAATCACTGATTATTTCACAAAATGAATGAGTTGGGGAAAACATGACTGTCCTTGGTTCAAACAGAGGAGGGTTTACAAGGGGGGGAGGGAGGGTATGATAGTCATAATGTAGGTGTGGCTGACAGAAACTTGCCATATAGTACCACATATACTTAAGGATATTAAGTACGTCTCATTTGTTATAAAAAAAAATGTGAATATTTCCTGAAAGCTTTGAGAAGGCAGCCTCAGGTATAAATAAGCTGTACTGATTTGGAAACTGTTTAACTTGGTTTATATGCCATTTGAATGTTTTTATGTCAACTGCACTAGACTGAGCCCTGGATAACACCACATAATGACCTACCCTGGAGGGAGCTCGTCTGTCTGTGATAGTAGCAGCATCCTTTGTTTGGTGTAGCTATGAGATACAGCCATCCAAAGGGAGGGAAAAACCTTTAATTTTTCAAATATTTGTTTATGTACTCCTGATGCTGATGCTGATGCTGCACCAACAACCCTGTGCTACTGGCTACTATATAATTTTGGTACTGCTGTGTTGTGATTGGGTTAAGTTATTTTCTCTGCCAAGAATACGGAAGATTCCAGACAATAAAATGTTTTTTTTTTCTGTTGTCAATTAGTCAAATTTGTAAGTTGTTTTTTATATTTTTTAACACAACCTGATTGTGGTTGATATTATTTCAGTCCACTGACCCTTCCACGTGTAGTTCCTGAAAGAACTCATGCATGTAGCTGTTAATTCCCTGGTATTTGTTTATGGTGATCGTCATTCTACCCATTATCTGAGATGTCGGTTCAACAGATGGGATGTCACAGTCAGAATGAATTGATATATTATGCTGATGTCTTTTTTTTTGTTATAGGTTACCACTTAGCATTTTTTTGCCATTAGGGTTCAGTATCATTCATATGAATTATAAGGATCGAGAGTTAAATTTTTCTTGCTAGTTCTGTTACTTATTAAATGTATTGTTGATTTTTGTAATTTACTGTTTGTATTCAGTTAATTTGAGACAGATACTGATGTATATGAATCATCAGTATCTATGAAACATGCTTTTAAGGATATATGCAAGCTATACAGCATAGGCATTTTTTTCTTTAACCCACTTACGACTGGTGTCACACATATAATATACCTGGAAGAATAAACATTACCAGGCGTCCCGCCGGGGCAATGCTAGATCAGAGCTTGTGCTCTGATTTTGTTGCCTGTGGCAGGCGGTACGCGGGTAGGTTTCTGGATTCGCCCACACACCGATTTTAGCTTGAAAATGTACTGTCGCTAGTGGGTTTAGGTAAATAGTCAAGGGGAAGATGCAGTTCAGATAAAGAAAGAGGAAAAGGATATTTTTATATTAGATATATATGACACATCTATTTTGGCTAGTGTCATTGATAGAGTAAGGTAAACAAATATGCCATTTTGTAAGATCTCTTGCTCGTAGTGTTAGCTGAAGTTGACATCTGTTGCAGGCATCTCAGAGAGCCGTCCCTGTCATGACCCTGAACCATGAGCTCCCAGCAGCAACAGTCCACCAGTGCCAACACGCTCACCACATCAACCCACCGCAGCACCCTTGCACAGATTCAGGGTGGGTCCTCGGAATGGTCTCCTTTTACAAGGATGAGCTTTGCTAATACAAGCATTGCTGATATATGTAATCCTTGTCTCTATGTGGGGCTTAACCCTTTAAATTCCGATCCTGATTATATAAAAAAAAAAAAAAAAGAAAGAAAGAAAGAAGGATATAATATATATATATATATACATATATATATACATATATTATATACATATTTATATACATATATATATATATATATATACATATATATACATATATATATATATATATATATATATATATATATATATATATATATATATATATATATATATATATATAATATACATATTTATATACATATATATATACTTATATATATATATATATATACATATATATATATATATATATATATATATATATATATATATATATATATATATATATATATATTAACATATACATACCTGCACACATATATAAATACAAATTTGATTTGACACAGGGACTACATATGGCCAGAGCTTCAGTGGTAGTGAGACTGATGTGAGCACCTCAACGGAGAACCTAAGTCCTGAGGAGAGATACGCCTTGGAGCACACGCAGCGACAGGAGCCCCAGGGCCAAGAGAATGTTGGCAACACTGTCAACAGCATGGCCAACTCGCAGATCTGCCGTGTGAACACTCCAGTGACTAGTGTAACAACAGTAGCTCCTGCCACTAGATCCAATGAGTAAGTTACTTGATTTATTTATTATTCATTTTTTTTTTTTTTTTTGTTAATTAATTATTTTGTTATTACTATTTTCTGTATACTTTCCTTTGCTTTTTCTTTTTGGAGTGTCTTTTGTCAGTGAAAAATTTTCAACCCTCTGATTAAGAAATGCTAAAGTGTGACTTTGAAGAATGTAAAGAATTAAATGGATGTTGCAGGACAAAGAAGTTTATGTGAGAAGATACAGTATGTTATTCATGAGTTGAAGTCTCCCAGGATCAAAAAATGCCTCTTTTTTTTGGCAAAAGGTTCAGAGTAAAAGACTGGCATTGTATAGATGTCAGCTTACTCAAATTATTAGATTAACCCATTTACGACGGGTGTCTCATATCTGAGACACCCGGAATAATAAACATTGCCGGGCGTCCCACCAGTGTGACGTTGGATCGGAGCTCATGCTCCAAATACGTTGCGGGCCACAGCTGGCGCTCGGGTAGATTCTAGGCTGGCCCCACGCCCCAATTTTGTAGCCGCCCGGAAAATATTATTTTCGGCTCCAAATATACCCGCGTTAGTGGGTTAACATTGTATTTTTAGATTTCCTATAAATATACCTGAAGAGAGATATTGAGCCTGTAGAATTTTTTCTATTATTATTATTATTTTATTTTATTTATTTATCTTTTTTCTTTTCTTTTCTGTTTTATTAAGCTGGCTATAGTTTTTAGTTTCATGTAAAAGTTTTGTCATTATATATACTCATTCCCATGTTTTAATTAATGTATGAATATTTATGCTTCTGTAAGAGCCCTTGAAAGCCTTATGCATTTCAATAATATAGTATTTACACTATATCATGTATAACATATTTTTATTTAACATTGGATGGTTCTGATTGCCTGTTTGAAGCCCTTTCTATCAGTCCTGTGTCACATGGGACATCAAATGAACCAATTTTTCACCCAATGATAACAGATGACATCTATACATACCATGGTAATGGAGGCTGCACTTTAGTCTGCATACTGTGCAAACATAAAGTTTTTACCTATGATGCCAATGGTTCTTGGCTTAAATCCTCATTTTTGAATGTTGTATTTTGATTTGATATCTGTTTAGGTGAGGCCATATTTTAAAAGATGATTAACCCTTTGGACCCGGGTGCTTCATGACAATCACATGGCCCAAAATACAGGTAATAGGCTTATGGAAATGGTCACTTGAATGAGTGTGCTACTTGTTGGCTGGTCGCAAACAAACACTCATGTATAGTAACAAGTCTCTCTGCCTCCGCTTTGCAATGTTATTTTCTTTTCTTTTCTTTTATTATTATTATTATTTTTTTTTTTTTTTTTTTTTGGCCATTTTCCAATATCCATATCTGTTATTTGATTTGCTTTATCCAGTTGGTAATAGATTGTTTTCATTGCACATACTCCATATCATCTCTCAAGGTACTTTAACTGTAATATAACCTATGCTGCTACTCCAGGCAACCAGTAATAGATTGCTGAACATGGAAATTTCCTCCCTGGATCTGGTGCTCTTCCTGTCATGGCTCACAGACACTACATTCCATGTTTGTTTATCAATGGGAATTATGTAAAAGCCCCTTTCTAAATGCTAAATGAGTCTAATCACCCTCCAAGAGGTTTGTGTACTCCTGGCAAGTCTTGCCTGTCACCCCAGCCTTCGGGGGAAATGCGCAGGATGGCAAATTTTCTTCACACCGGCCCACAACCAGATTTCCCCATGACTGCATGTTCATGTCATCCACTCTCAAACCAGATTTTTTCATAATGTGATGGTCAAGTCATCTGGATCGTAGGAGTTAACCCAATGCCCCCGGGAGAATGTGTTCACCTTAGTATTGTTTTGTTAAATAGATGGCTTAGCCAATTAAGTAGATCTTGTGACCTCACCTTTCCTTGAGTTAGTGGGAAAATTGTTTTTTTTTACTAATGCTATCAATATTGATACTGTTCTTTTTATTATAAACATTATAATTATTATATTGTTAATGACATTACTAAGAGCAGTATTAAATACTAGAAAATATCGAAAATCAAGGAGAAGAATAAGCAGGTGAGACAAGTGGTACTTGGTTCATTGGTGACCTGTACTTGTAGTCATCTATATGTAAAAATAATTACTAAACTAAACACACAGTTGGCATGGCAAATACACACATGCCGTCCCAGGTGGCATGTGGCTAAGGATATGTTTCGACACCACCACCATTCTTTTATTTTGCTCCTGCTTCAGTTACTACCACCTTGACCTACAATATCAGTTTTCATTATGTGAGGTGACATGTTTAGAGTAAGAGTGATGACCTTCCAAGGTGGTGGTTTTCTATGAGGTCTGGGATTTGTAGTTGGCCCTGAGTTCATCTGTTGGGATCTAGGGACTTGAGGTACATGCACAGCAGTCATCTCTCTGCTTTGTTTCTTAAAATGTGCCACAGATCATGAATGAATTCTGGAATGTCTCCTGTCCTTACCATATTAAAGAGCAGTCTGCTATAAGCTATTGGAGCCTATTTACATAGTCCAGTTGTAGAATTTCAGTGCCTGATTTTCTTTGTTTTTTTCTTTCCAGATCCAATGCATCCATTTGTAGTAGCACAAATACATTGATCATTCATAACAATGTGTCAGATGACCCTTGGCAGCACAGGTGGCTGCCAGGTGGATACTCCACTCCCATGGCAGGAAGAAAATCAGTGTGAGTATCTTGAAGACCTTTATACAATTTTTTACATGTAGTTATTATCATTAGTAGTAGTTGTAATAATTGAAGTAATAGTAAGATGAGTATTTTTATTAAGTCATTGAAACCAGGAGGGTATGTATACATGATCTGTCTTTTGTTTACATGTAGGAATCATTTACTGATCTGATTTTACCTATTTACCCTGTTACTGGAATTTTTGGAAAAGAACATTTTTATTTTGATTATTATTAGTACTGTCAATAATGTTATAAGAAC